GAACGCGTAGGCGGCGACGCCGACGCGGACGACATGCGAAGCAGAAGGAGGAGGAGGCGGCGGTGTGCGTGTGTGTTGTGTGTTTGTCTTGTTGGGTGGTCTGTTGTCAGTTGCTGCCACGGGGGTGGCGTGCGTGTGTCTGTGTGTCTGTGTGTGTGTGTGTGTGTGTGTGTGTGTGTGTGTGCGTTTGCCGTTTGCGCATGCACCGTGCGAGAGGCACCGCCGAGGGAGATGCGCTCCCCCCACTCGCTCTCTGTGCACGTCTATTCATTTATTTATTTATTTTTTTTCCTTCTTTTTCCTTTTTCTCTTTCCTCTCTTTCTCTCCCTCTCGTGTGGCTGCGTTGCGTTGCACGCAGTGTGGCCGCCAGCAGCGGCGGAAACAACAAACACCAACACACACAGACACACACAGACACACACACAGACACACCTGCGTGTTAGATACTCCTTTGTTTTTGTTTTTCTCTCTGTCTCTCTCTCTCTCGTTCTTTCCTTGCGTGTGTGTGTCCGTGCGTGCGTGTGGCGGCAGAGATGTTTGCCTCCGTGGGGGTCTCGGAGGAGCAGGTCTTCGGCGACCTCTACCTCGCCTGGCTGAAGGACACCGGGGAGAAGAACAGCAACGACTCCCGCAAGCTCTTCCGCGAGCTGATGGAGCACGGCTTTAGGGAACGCCAGATTGTGCTGCGCAAGGAGCGCCTGGGCGCCAACGCCGCCGCGAGCCTCGCCTCGCTGCTGCACCGCTCCCCCCTGACGCGCCTCGACCTGCACGGCAACACGCTGCGCGACAGCGGGTGCGAGATGGTGGCGCACCTCGTCCGCGACCTCCCGAACCTTCTCTACCTCGACCTCGGCGCCAACGACATCGGCCCGCAGGGCATCCAGGCCCTCAGCTACGTCGTCGCCGCGCACAAGAAGCTGCAGACCCTCATCCTCGGCTCCGCCGCGCAGGACGCCTACGCCAACCGCATCAACGCCGCAAGCGCCACGAGCCTCCTGGAGGGCTGCCTGCGGAGCCGCACGCTGCGCCACCTTGACCTCAGCGGCAGCACCATTGGCGAACCCGACGACCGCAGCCGGCTCTACGGTGCGGCGGGCGCGGTGGAGTTTAACGTCGCCCCGCCGTTGCGGTTCTCTAGCCGGCCGTCCTCCTCCGTGGCGCGTCGAAATCAGGCGTCGTCGACAACGCAGGCGTCCTCCAGCGGTAAAGGGCCCGACGGCGGCGGCGGCGGCGCGGCGGGTGCTGGCGGTGCTGGGAGCGGGGCGACGGACGACGCCGAGAGCGGCCTCGACGGCCACTTGAGGCGCCCCATTGATGTGCTGGCGGAGTTGATCCGCACCTCGGCGACGCTGACGACGCTGAAGTTGCGCGAGGTGCGGCTCACCACCGACGCCGCCCTCCGCATCATTCACGCCGCGATGGAGAGTGCCAGTTTCGCGTTTGTGGATCTTTCAGGCAACCTACTCACCGGGCCCGTGGGCGACGCCTTTGGGGAACTCGTGTGGGGCCGTACGAAGAAGCAGCGGCCATCCGGGTTGCACACCATTTTGCTAAGCAACAACCCTCTGATGGAGCCAAACTGCGGCATGCCTCCACCGCGGCTCTTTTCTGCACTCTCCAGCGATCGCCTGGTGGTCTGCCTGCACTTAGACAACTGCGGCGTGGACGACGCCGCGATTGTGCCGCTCTGCCGTGCGTTGGGCACGAACGGCGCGTTGCAGTCGCTCCACCTGGACCACAACGCCATCACATCGGACGGCGCCGTCATGCTGGCCCGTGCCCTTTGCCGACACATCTACCTCCAGGACGTCTCCCTGGAGGGCAACATCATACGGGACGAGGGCATCTGCGCCTTTGCGAGCATGCTAGAGATGAACCAGACGTTGTTATCGCTTAATTTGGCCCACACGTGGATGGGCGAGCGCGCCCTCGTGGCGCTCGGCGTGGCGCTCGTGGACAACAGAACCCTGCGGCGACTCAACATTGGCGAGAATCACTTCACGGAGGACGCCACGGAGGCCTTCGCCGCGCTGCTGGAGAGCAACCACCACCTGCTTCGCTGCAGAATGAACGGGAACAGCATCGGCCACCACACGGTGCTGCGCATTGAGAAGACCACCGCCCGCAACCGCGAGGCCTACCGGAACCTCGAGAAGGACGATCTCGAGAAGGACGTCATCCACCTTCACTACCAGATGTACAAGCTGGACGAGGCCCGCGCGGAGCTGGAGAACCTGCAGCGGAAGAAGATGGAGCTCGGAAGGGCCCTGGAGGCGCTCGAGGCGCAGTTCAAGCAGGACCGGGCCGACGCCGAGAAGAGGGAGCGGAGCCTGCAGGAGACGCTCGAAAACTGCATCGCACAGGAGGCACACTGCCTCGACGAGAAGAAGCGCCTCGACGGCGAGTTGGAGCAGGCGCAGAAGCAGATCGAGATTGACATGGAGCTCGCAAAGGAGCGGCTCGAGGCGGAGGTAGCAGTGCGGGAGAAGATCGAGGAGGAGCACCGCCAGCTGAAGCTGCAGCTCGATGACGTGCTGAACAACGGGCCCCAGCGTGAGGCGGCGAAGCGGCAGTATCTGCAGGACGTGAACGAGGACTGCCAGCGGTGGACGATGCAGCTGAAGGAGTACCGCAGCGCCACTCTCGAAGAGCAGGCGGCCGTGAATCAACTGCTGGAGAAGGAAAAGGCGGGAAAGAAGGGCAAAAAGGGAAAGAAAGCCTAATGCAATGGGACACCGCGCGTGCGCGGCTGCTGCGCTGTTTCCCTTTTTTTTTTTTGTTCTTGCAAGTCTGCGTGGCTGGATGTGCCGCTGCACATGCCACCCTCGCCGGACTGCCCGCGGCCAAGTTATGTACAATGGAGGGAGGCTCCGCTCTCCGCGCCATGCGCCAGAGCACCCCTCTTCCTTCCCTTCCCTTCGCCTTCGCCTTTGCCAAGGAGGAAGGGAAGGAGGACGT